ACTTGTAAAAATAGCTTCTTTTTTTTAAGAAATAACAGGTTTAAATGTTTTCAATCTGATAAATAGGGGTTGAGTCGCTTTCATTTGATACTAATGAAATTGGAGTTAGGAATACAGATCAACTCCCACATGAATCAACCAAAAGAAACTATCACAGCACTAAACATGTTTGTTCAGAATCACATGTACTAAGTTACTGTTTCAACATTTTGTGTCCTTTTGAAATCTCAGTGTTTTGAAGTGAGATATATCAATTAGCCAGCTATATTCTGGAACCATTACAATGGCAGCTATAAGACCAACTGTAAGGTTTATAGCTCAGGACAAATGAATGCAGGGATTTTAAAAATCACCAAAATATTCTAAGGATTACATAAAACATGATTAAGACATTAGGAGAGTAAATACAATTTTATTAGGTACCAAAAAAGAGTAAAATGCTAGAATAGATTATTTACCATGAGAATATATATGGCTGTGTGTGTATATTCCAGCATAACTCTGGAATGCCTCTAGCAATTTCAACCAAACTTGGTACACAGATGACTTACTCACTGGAGACAAATATTGTGGGGGTAAGATACCCCTAGCACCCCTCAGGGGGTGTATTCTGTTAAGATGCAGCCTGTTGTTGGGCTTCTAAATGGTTTCTACTGTACAGCACAGGGGAGTTGCCATAGTAATGGCTTCCCAGTATTCCACAAGGGGGCTCTCTCTGGTAAAATGGAAAATCCAACATTAGAAATTACATTTGGTCCTGACAATAAATACCCAGGCAACGCTGGGTTATCGGCTAGTATTTCATAAAAATCAGTATCATAAGAGAGGATCCTTTCTCTAGTCTGCTCTTCAGAGCTAGTAGAACCCCCAGGTTGAATTTAAAATGTGAAGAAGGGAGCAATTCTTCAGATAAGATTCCAAAAAGGTGGACATAGCAGCTTCAAAGAGTTGCAAGCAAGTGCTATGTTCATTGGCTAATGCATACTAAAGCCCATTTAGAACTCAGATCTGAAATGTTGTATAAGCTTAATTGGAAGATACATACATGTGTATGTGAATGTGTGCTCCATTGTTTCCAAGAGCATTAGAGCACAAAAATACGGCTTTGAAATGTATACTACAAAATTAGTGTGCTCAGTTAACCTGTAATAGGCATATGAATGTTCTTATTCTTTATCACAGTTATTAATGCTGAAGACAAACATATGATGCAATGGTAGTGAAAATAATGTATTGTTTGAAGAAACACTGTCCTTCCTCAATCAAACAAGGCTTTGATATTGCCTTGATTTCCAAAGGGACTGAATGTTTCTCTCTATTTTCTCTATTCTCTGTTCCATTTGCAACCACCTCAGCACCATCTTCATTCATCCTCCCATGCTATGTAACAGGAACATTGCTGTGCACTTATTAAAGGTAGTCCTCAACTTACAAGCATTTGTTTAGTGACTGTTGAAGTTACGGTGGCACTGAAAAAGTCACCTACAACCGGTCTTTGTATTTATGATTGTGGTAGCATTCCCATGGTCACATGATAGACATTTGCAAGGTTTCCAGTTAGTTTTTGACAAGCAAAGTCAACGGAGAAGCCAAATTCACTTAACAACTGTTGTGTGACTCACTTAACAACTGTCTTGCTTAGTAACAGAAATTCTGGTCCCAATTATGGTCATGTCAAGGACTACCTGTATATAGTTTAGACCGGTATAATCGGTGTATGATAGATTGTCTTACTAGAGTTGCATGAATGAAATAATCATTGTAGATAAATTGCCAATCTGTAATTAAACATTTCTGAGAAACAAGATCATGTGTATTGGCTCTAACTCTTACCCTTTACTCTTACCTCTTACTCTTTTCAGAACATATTCCTATATATTGCCATAAATTACCATGATAGTAATTTTCCTTTCTTGTAGAAGAAATTTTTTGAATTTAACCTCTGGCTGTGATACCACAAGGTGAGATTTGTGAAACAGCTAGAGTGAAATGCAAAGTTACTTGAATTTCAAGTTTTTTCACATTTTTGTTCCTGGCTTTGAAACGGAGACCTTTTCCATGGTTTAAGACATGAATTTTTCCAGTAAAAGGGCCAGTTTTTTGTATCTCAGTTATGTAGCCATAATGCAGTTTACCAAAGAATACAGGTTCTAAATTAACTACTTAACAGAATAACCGAGTTGGAAGGGACCTTGGAGGTCTTCTAGTCTAACCCCCTTCATAAGCAGAAGACCCCATACCATTCTGGATCAAGGGCTGTCCAATCTCTTCTTAAAAACCCCACAACTTCTGAAGGCAAGCTGTTCCACTGGCTCCACTTATCTGAAACTAATAAGAACAAATGTAAAATTGAGAACAGGTTTTATGTGGTATGTAATCATTAATTATATGAATGGGAATGATTTAATAAGAACACATAACGTTCACTTTGGGATAGTTATATTACTTTGTGATCCTTATGCCATAGGGCAAAAAAGATCCCTAGGCAAATAAGGCTGGGAGCTCACCTGAGATAAGGTGATAAAGGACAACTATCACAAGTGCCCAAACTCTGTAGCTAATTTAACACACACACACCCACCACACACACCCAAAAAAACTTTAAAAAAATGTCTGGACAGGCAGAAGAATAGAGTCATTTATTCTTTGGGATCCAATCCTATGGTTTTTACTTTAACTGCTATATAGACCCAGCTTAAGATATCTGCAGCTTCTCCCTTAAGATTGTTAAAAATGTGTTTGCCTTTTTTTACAATGGCAAGACTTCAGGTGTTTTACATGAAACCTTGATAAGTCCAAGATGCATTCACACACCCTTCCGGTGAATTTCTTAGCAGTGGGAACCAGAGCAGATGAAGTTCCAGTTCACTCTATCAAGGTTTTCCCTATCCGTTTAACTGTACAGGTAATCCTTAACTTATGACCACACTTGGAACCTGAATTTCTGTTGCTAAGCCAGGCAATTGTTAAATGAATCACACCCAATTTTATGACCTTTTTTCCCCATGGTTGTTAAGTAAATCATTGCACTGCACTGTCAAGTAAATAAGTGTTGTTAAGAGCCGAGGTGGTGCAGTGGTTAAATGCAGCACTGCAGGCTACTTCAGCTGACTGCAGTTCTGCAGTTCAGCTGTTCAAATCTCACCGGCTCAAGGTTAACTCAGCCTTCCATCCTTCCAAGGTGGGTAAAATGAGGACCTAGATTGTTGGGGGCAATATGCTGACTCTGTAAACCGCTTAGAGAGGGCTGAAAGCCCTATGAAGCGGTATTTAAGTCTAAGTGCTATTGCTATTGCTATTGTGTTGTTATTGAGGAAGTTCTCCTTCTCCCATTGACTTTGCTTGTTGGGAGCTAGCTGGGAAGGTGGGAACTAGTCACATGACCCTGGGATATTGCAACCATAAATACATGCTTGTTGCTAAGTGCTCACATTTTGATTATGTGACTATGGGAATGCTACGGTGGTTGTGTGAAGACTGGTTATAAGTCACTTTTTCAGTGTTGTTGTAACTTTGAACAATCACTAAACCAATGATTGTAAGTTGAGAGCTATCTGTACATGTGCCATAACAGTGCTGAGAATGTAATATGACAAGTTGTAATGGCTATAGATATAGACAACTTTTTTACAAGTTGTCTGCCCCTTTGTTGAAAAAGGCATTGATCTGCAAGTTATAGTTTTGGTGTTTAATTTCAATTCATTAATCTACTTTATGATTAATTCAGTGCAAAAACAAATACTTCTTGTAACAACATGTTTTCTACAGTGGTTATAATGCAGTACTGCAGCCTAATTCGAGTCTCACTGGCTCAAGGTTGACTCAGCCTTCCATCCTTCCAAGGTGGATAAAATGAGGACCAAGGTTGTTGGGGGTAATATGCTGACTCTGTAAACCATTTAGAGGGGGCTGTAAAGCACTGTGAAGCGGTATATGTCTAAGTGCTATTGCTAGCTGGAAAGATTAATTATTAATTGAACTGTCCATGATTATTTTTTATAGAATGAATTTTGTTGGATGTAATCTATGTTTTTGCCAAACCACTTTTGTCACCCTAATGGTTGAAATGCATACTTAAGAATGCAAGGTATAGATAAGAGAAGCAAGAAAGAGATGAAATAAAAATTCCTGTCATATATTGAACACAATTGGTGAACCTCTATAGAAATAGATGCAAGTTGTACATTTTATTCTTGTGCAGCTCCCATTCAGTGTGCCTTGCATCTTACCGAGAACTTGTGCCAAAAGACACTTCAGTGCCCCATAGAGACTAGACTATGGCAATGTCCCTAAATTCAAAATGGACTCTTGTGGCCCGATCACTATTTGTGATTGTAATAAGAAGGTAAAGTGTCTCTGCAACGCATCTTTCAGACCGGTTTCTTTGGACATCTTTGACTCAGCTATTTGAAAAAGTCACCATCTGAAGAAACAGGAAAAATATACAGTACACATCATGATCATGAACATAGAAAGGAAGGTCTAATTCTTTTCTGAAGAATTCCATGAACAGTGAGCTAGTACATCCCCTTAAAACAAATTTGTCATATAAAGCTATTTCAGAATAACAGAATAACAGAAGGGACTTGGAGGTTTTCTAGTCCAACTCCTTGTTCAATCAGGAGACCCTATACTTGTGATGGCAAACCTATGGCATGTATGCCACAGGTGGCACACAGAGCCTTCTCTGAGGGCACATGAGCCGTTGCCCCAGCTCAGCTCCATCAAGCAATGCGCATGTACGCCTTCTGCTGGCTTGTGCAGTGGGTGGGGTACATGCAGGGGCGGGGGGGTTGCACATGGGGGGCAGGGGGAATGTGGGGGGAGGTGCTCCCCCCACAGCCCATTTTTGGTCCTAGGAGGCTGCAGGGAGATCTGCTAGGCACAGGGGTGTGCGGGTATGTGGTGCCCATGAGTGGGGGATGGGTGGGGAGAGCATGGAGGGGTCACATGCACAGAGGGGCAGGGCGCATGGGGGGGTGTTGCACGTGCATTGCATTATGGGTGCAGGCAAACGCGTGCGCAAGCTGTCGCACACGTGCTCACTGTTGACATGCGATAACCAAAAGGTTAGCCATCATTGCCCTATACCATTCCAGAAAAGTGGCTGTCCAGTCTTTTTTTTTAAAAGCCTCCAGTGATGGAGCATGCACAACTTCTGTGTTGTACAACAGTGTTGTATTATATTCGTCAGTGTTGTACATGTTTGTACATTCAGTGTTGTAATTTCTGGGTTGTACATCTATTCTGCGGTAATAATATATATCATTTAGGGATAATGGTGTGTCATTTTCATACTTACAATTCATAATTCATATTACAACATAATATACCATGAAACCCATCCATGCCAATAACTAAAGAATTGTCTCAGTGGCAAATATTATAACTGCGTTACGTGCACATTTTTGTTGCACTAAAACCCATCTCCATAGAAAAATGTTTAAATTCTGTTTTTTCTTGTTCTGCGGACAAATAGGCAAATGTTCATAGTAGTCCAATGATTAGGAGGTTCCATGATCTCTTATAAAAGTACCTCATTATTGTAGAAAGGAAGGGTGTTGTTGTTGTTTTACTTCTAATGGGCAATTACTTATTATTCTTGGGGGAAAAGCCCACTGCTTTTGTAAGTAGGATGCTGCTTATGATCCTGTCTCTATTCCCTCTGCCCCAATTTACAACATTCCTAACTTTCCTTTTGCCTTTTTTTTGCTTTTTGTCTCTTTCCCCACTCCCTAGGAAGAAGTGCAGTATGGCTCCAGTTCCCTGGCTATGTTAATGGACCCTTGGGATAAATTTGGAAATTCTAACCCAGTTCAAGAATCAACCTCTCCCAGAAACTCTGAGAACAATTTGGGAAGAAAACCTTACCTTTTGGGAGTAGACTCTTTTGCTCCAAAACTCTGGAGCACTGAAGGCATGGGAGATTCCTATGCAGCCACTTTCCCAAATGGGAATGGATTGATGTCACCTTCAGCAAGCCCTCAAGCTTCCACCACTTACAGCAATGATTACAGTCCTTTCCCCCATTCCTTCTCAGCCTCACCCACCACTCAAGATCCTTCTTCGTTGCTGGTGCCTAAGGGGCATCTATCCCCTGATTGTCTCCCCAGTGTCTATACCTCCTTGGACATGGCACACCCTTATGGCTCCTGGTACAAAGCTGGCATCCACCCAGGCATCTCTACCAGCTCTAGCAACCCTACGGCTTCTTGGTGGGATATGCATTCCAACAGCAACTGGTTGAGTTCTCAGCCACAATCAGATGGACTCCAGGGTTCCTTACAGTCCATGCCGAGTCAGGCACCCATCAGCCCCCAGCTACCCAGTTACACTTCTGAGTTCACAACTTTGAATCCTGCTCCTTACCCTGCAGTGGGCATTACTTCTTCATCACACCTTCTCCCTTCAGGACAACATGTGCTACCCCAAGAAATGTACAAGCCCAAGCCAGTGGCCAACAACTCCCTGATGGAAGGTGGGATTGCCTTGAAGCCTGGAAGAGGGGGCTCCTTTGGTAGCACAACCGGCAGGTCTACTTGTGACTGCCCTAATTGCCAAGAACTAGAACGGCTTGGGGCCTCGGCAGCCAGCCTGCGGAAGAAGCCTATCCACAGCTGCCATATCCCAGGCTGCGGGAAGGTCTATGGGAAAGCCTCGCATCTGAAAGCCCATCTGCGATGGCATACTGGGGAACGTCCTTTTGTATGCAACTGGCTCTTCTGCGGCAAGCGTTTTACGCGCTCAGATGAGCTGGAGCGCCATGTTCGCACCCATACCCGGGAGAAGAAATTTACCTGTTTACTCTGTAACAAGCGCTTCACTCGTAGCGACCACCTCAGCAAGCATCAGAAGACCCATAATGAAATGGGAGTGGGCAAACCGCCAGAAGGTGAAGCGGAGCGAGAAGAGGTTGCTACAGTGGCTAGTTCTCCCAGCACTGCAGCCCTTCAAGATGGCCTGGCTGGAGAGGAAAAAGATGCCACCAGCCCTGAGCAAAGCAGTCTCCTGGAAATCTAATGGGTACTGCGTGTGCTCCAGCTTGCTTACTTCGTACCATCTCCACCATTCTTCTTTGAGTGCTTCCCGCTAAATAATTTATTTGTGGATGAAACACAACCGCTGTTGCCGTTAGCCGTTCCTCTAGCTAAGATTGTACCTTATGTAAAGCTTCCCTAACCCCAATCCAGAAGCCGAATTCAGCTGGGACCTCAGAAGGTCTATGACTTTGTGGCTAAAGACTCAGAGGCAAAATCTGAAGCTGCATCCTCTATTGTTCCTTAAGCTGTTAAAACCAAAATAGCTTCCCTGCGGAGGTCTCTATGTGATCACTTGGATAATGGCCAAAACGTTGAACTCGTAATATCATGCATAGGACTAGCCAAGTAGCAGGCTGGGCTGGACTGAAATAAATTGTTCTCAGGGTATGTATAGGAATCACTTTCCATCTTATGTAAACCCAACTGAGCATATGATTCTGAGCAACTCTCTTAACTTCTAGCACCCGTAGATGATGGGAAAACACAAGGACCTTCTTTGCAATTAGAACACTGTATCTGCACCATTGAGCGTGCCCTTGTTCCCAGACACTAGTGCAACCTCTTACTCAGAAGATAATAGTCAAATAGTCATCTCGCAGTGAGATGAGTGACAAACAAATTTGATAAGTACATAAATTAATAAGTTGGTTAGCTTCAGATGCTGAAAGAGTGCTTATTATAGCTTTAAGAGCTGCAAGGAGAAAAATAGAGCAAGTAATGGCTCTTCAGGTGACTGATAGCGTTGATGAGAAGCCACAGCTGGTAAAACTGTGCCTATTTGTCAAGCTCTTTAAGATTTGTAAGCCCTGGCAGGATCCAGATATGGAATTTTTATTACTAAGCCTCCACCCTTTCTTTAAATAAACTTGGAAGCTACTGGTTAGAAATTGTTGCTTCAGTAAATATAAAGGGAACTTTTGCTATTAAAATCCCATCCTATTTAAAATTAAAAGTCTTGGTTCTGGGCAATAGGAGGCCTTAGGTAATAATTACGGAAGGACAAATTAGCAGCCAATTATACAGCCATCACTCTTTCATCAGTATAAACCGGGATTCTATTCTCCCTTGAGTTCTGTCCATGTTTTTTTGTTTTTTTATGAAGATCAGCAAGGATTGTGCAATTTATTGGATCATGCAGTGATCACCAAAGAAGATTTTGGCATTTCACAGGTAGAATTTCTGCCTGTTCCCCTGGTTTTGTATGAATGTCACACATGATGGCAAGAGCTAATTTGGGCCTTATTTTAAATATTAGGGACATGACCTTATACAGGACAAATGGACTGTTCCACGGAAGTGCAGAAATAGATAAATTTAAGTGTTCTTTACCAAGGTAAAGGAAGTTGAAGAGGAAAACCAATAATTTCATAGGAGAAATAAGAAGAATAGCTCACAAGATGTCCCATATAGGTGCTACAAAGCTGTTTTGAACCTTTCTCTTCCCCGTATATTTAATCTAGAAATATATTTATCCTTAAATTATGATGAAAAATAAATAGAGGTGAGGAGGTGGCTGGATTCTCCAAAAAGCCTCTAACCCAGTGGTTCCCAAACTTGGCAACTTTAAGACTTGTGGACTTCAACTCCCAGAAGTCCACAAGTCTTAAAGTTGCCAAGTTTGGGAACCACTGCTCTAACCCAAGGCATTTATTTTCTGATCAGAATTGTCTCTCTGTCAATTAGGAAAGGGCTTTCCTTGTGCAAAACAGTGCCATCTGCAACTTGCTTTGTTCTTTTTAGTTGTAGCTTCGTATTTTGGGGGGAGAAATTGAATATTCATAATCTAAAATGCTTTTTGTTTTAAGTTCTGTTCATTTTTTTATTTAAAAAAAAGATTCAGGTGGATTTGGAAGCTTGTTAATATTGGATATTTTGAGAAGCAAATTCTCAATATTTGAGTGTTCTAATTTTTGGTAGGGAACTACTTGGTTTAGCAAGCCAACTATCAACAGCTTAAGTGTTAGAGAAGGAAATCCCTGGCACAACCCTCTACTGTTTTGGGGCATTATTCCTTTTCAAAAGTCTAATGTCTGTGGACCTATGTGGTTAAATGCTTCCCATGTTGCTTTGATCTGTTTGCTTTTCAGCTCAGGCCAAGGCCACTGGATAGAAGACGAAAACTCACAGGGTTGATTACCAACAAGAGATCATTGCTAGAAAAAAATATTATCGTGTCCAGTTCTCTCCCTTCCATTTTGCAGTATTTAAGCACACTATTTCTACTGAGTTTCTGTGTGCTCCCCCCCCCCTGCCCTTTCCAACATCATTAATTGGCTTCTCAAAGGGAATCTCAAATGTGATTAACTCATAACATGGAGAAACTCTAAAGATTTTGAGAGAGGGGAGTTACTATTAACTGGTTAATACAAAATGTAGTCCAGTACATTGCTTCAGAAGTGCAAATCATAGTTCTCTGTTGTTTGCCTGCTCAGGCAGCTCACATGGAAGTTCATTTTTGCTTTGAATTTTGCTTATTTTTAATTTAAAAATAAAAATATAAGCTATGTTTTTTGGGGGGGAGAATGCTGAAAGAAACTGGATCCTTATGTATGGAAGTACAATCCAATCTGGTGCTACTGTACCACATTTCTAATAAAGTGGCACTTTTACTGCCTGCAAAGTTACTGTTTTTACTGGAGCCTTTGTAGGTGCTCGCAAGCCTGCAAGCTGGGGGAAACCTGGGATCTATATCAATCCCCCACTACCCAATATTCAAATACACTCACATTTCCCTTCCACAACTCACAAGAATAGCAGGAGTCAAAAAGTGTGTAAGGGTGAAATATCTCCTCCCCCTTCTGCAATGCCCAGTCCATCCATCTGGAGCAGGGTTTCTCAAACTTCACAACTTTTAAGTCTGTGTGGATTTCAACTCCCAGAATTTTCCAGCCCGGACTTAAAAGTTCTCAAAGATTGAGATATGCTGATCCCTACCTACTTGAGAGGGATGTGGTGGCTCAGTGGCTAAGACTCTGAGCTTGTCGATCAGAAAGGTTGGCAGTTTGACGGTTCGAATCCCTAGCGCCACATAACAGAGTGAGCTCCCATTACTTGTCCCAGCTTCTGCCAACCTAGCAGTTCGAAAGCATGTAAAAATGCAAGTAGAAAAATAGGAACCACCTTTGTTGAGAAGGTAACAACGTTACATGCGCCTTTGGCATTTAGTCATACCAGACACATGACCACAGAGACATCTTCGGACAGTGCTGACTCTTTGGCTTTGAAACAGAGATGAGCACCAACCCCTAGAGTCGGGAACAACTAGCACATGTGTGAGACGGGAACCTTTACCTTTAAAGTTATTTTTCCACCACTGCATTAGGAAATGTATGGAAATCAATGTGTAAACTTCAGCAGTTATTAGAATTAATTATTTGCAGGTTGTGTTTAATTGGTTTTACATTTTTAACTTGTGATTATTTTTTATTACAAGAGCCTAACTCCCGAGTGCTATTTTAAACTTTAATTCCCCTCAATTATTTTATCTGCTCAAAGAGTGCATTAAAACAGGCACAGTGTTCATACAATTTTTCCCCACTGGCTGGGCATGTAATTTTTCCCCACCTGCTAGCTTCTTAAAAATCCTTCAACTTTTTAAAAATCCTTAAAAATTCAACATGAAGTTTTTTAAAGGCTTCAAAAGCACCCTTGGTTTTCCATGCCTGGAGACAATTGTG